CCCGTGCAGCCGTGGGTGCAGCACCGTGCACGGGCTGCCCCCATCCTACACACTGCCGGGGGGCAGGTACCCACATGTGCAGCGCCACGCATGGGCCAGCGTGCTGCATGGGACTGGGGGGCATGCACCTGTGCAGCACCATGCATGGGCACCCAATGTGCTGCATGGGACCAGGGGCATACACCCATGCCACTGTGTGTGCAGCGCCTTGCATGGGATGCCAGCATGCTGCATGGAGCCAGGGTGTGCATGCACTCGTGCAGCTGTGCGTGCAGCACCATGAATGGGCAGCCAGCGTGCTGCATGGGACTGAGGGGCGTGCACCCATGCAGTCATGTGCGCAGCACCCTGCACATGCTGCCAGCATGCTGCATGCTGCTGGGGGGCATGCGCCTGTGCACCTGCATGTGCACACGCATGCAAGGACGGTTCCCGCCCTGCACACTGCTCGGGGTAGGCACCCATGCATGCAGGAGTGCACTGCCATTCACAGGCTGCCATCGTGCTGCAAGCTGCTGGGGGCATTAGCCCATGCACCCACATGCGCACCACCCTGCACGGGCTGCCAGCACGCTGCACAGTACCAGGGAGGACATGCACCTGCACATCTGCATGCGCAGCTCCATGCACAGGCTGCCAGCATGCTGAATGGTGCTAGTGGGACCACATACCCCCACATGCACAGCAGTGCACAGGCTGCGCCCAACCTGCATGCTGCAGGGAGGGGCATGCACCTATGCATGCCTGTGTGCACTGCGATGCACGAGCTCCTGGGGCCATGCACGGGACCAAGGAGCCCCACACCCTTGCACTCACTTGTGCACTGCCATGCACAGGCTGCCAGCACGCTTCATTCTGCTGTGTGTGTATATGTGCACCCATGCACATGTGTGTGCACTGCCATGCATGGGCTGCACGCTGCTGCTTGTGCCCTACAGCTTGCGAGGGGGCTGCACGCCTGTTTGCGCACCTGCATTTTCAGCAACAGTGGGTGCCTGTCAGCAAACGTGTGTGCACCCCTGTGCATGCACCACGTAAGCGTGCACAGCCCTTGCACACTCGTGTGCACACACACACCCCCAACCCGTTCCAGTGCTGCTACGCTGCGCCCAGCGGGCACACGTGCATACGTGTGCAGCCCCCATGCATGATGCCAGCGGGCTGCATCCTGGCACACTCATGCACACGCGTGTGCAGCCCCAGTGCCGGGTGCCCCCCTGCCCTACACGTCCCTCCCCATGCAGCGGTCCCGGAGCGCCTGCCCCCCGCTCCCCTCCGGGTAGTGTGAAATGTGAAATGTAACTTGTGCACTTTTCCTAGCTGGTCCTGTAGGTGTGCGGGCGCCGGGCCGCGCGCGAGCCCCGGGCCCCGCCGCGCGTGTCTGTTTGCTCATTAAAGACGGTTCTCACAGCAGCGACCTGGCCTGGCTCCCTGCGGCGTGCAGCATCGTGCACCCGCAGCGCGTGTTCCTGCAGCGCTCTGCACCCATGGCCTGTGTTCCTGCAGCGTCGTGCACTCATGGTCCATGTTTCTGCACCGGGCATCCACAGCCCGTGTTCCTGCAGTACCAAGCACCCGCAGCGCGTGTTCCTGCAGCATCGTGCACTCATGGCCCATGTTTCTGCAGCACTGGGCATCCACAGCCCGTGTTCCTGTAGTACCAGGCACGTGTTCCTGCAGCGTGCAGCACTGCACTCCCAGGACCCATGTTCCTGCAGCGTGCAGCGCAGGGCACCCACGGCCCGTGTTCCTGCAGCGTGTAGCACCAGGCATCCATGTCCCCACGATGTCCCCAGGCCGTGCAGGGCTGCGCACGCGTGTCCCACACACCAGGGCTGCAGCAGCTGGAGTGGAGACGGCACCGTCCGGAGGGGACAGAGCGCCTCGTGCTGCCGGCGCGGAGCACTGGCCCAGGGCACACATGTGCAACAAGTGTGCAAATGCACAAGCACCTGTGGAACAATTGTGCACACACATGCAATGAGCGTGTAGGCAGGCATGCAATGAGCATGCACAGCAGCACACAGAGGCACAGGTGCAATTTCTGTGCATGCACACCCGCAACAAGCAGGCACTTAGTCCTGCAGCAAGTGTGCACGCCAGCACACACGCCTGCAACGATCGTGCACACCCATGCGTGTGCATGCACGTGCAGTGAGTGTGCAAACACGCTCGTGCACAGGCTCCCTCGGGCGCGCAGAGGCTCCGAGGGCGCCGCGTCCCTGCGCCCTCCCGGCTCTCCCGGTGCCAGCGCGGGCGCTCGGCGAGCGGCGCTGCGAGGGGCAGCTGCGAGGGGCAGTGCGG